AACCGGGAGGACGAAATTTTAAGGGAATGTTCCCAGTATGATTTCAAATTCAGCCCCACCCTTTCCGTGTGTACTTCTCACGTACGTACCCGTCAATCGTACAAGAGCGCGCGCGCGCACACACACACACACACTCTGCAGCGTGTGCGTTTTGCAGGCTACGCCTTAGATAATTTGATTGCGGTAGAAAAGTACATGGTAGTGAAGGAGTGTGTCTGAGAAGCAGGTCGATATGGATGTAAAAGCGCCGCATTTTTCAAATCGCGTTATTTTTTTTCTTCCAAAATGATCTGTGGCGGCGCTGGGTAGTGGCGTTTGTTGTATTTTGGTGGTGTTTGGTTGTCGGAGCGGGATGCCAGGCGCTTTCTTGATTGATTGTGCATGTGCCTCGGTGGATCACGTCGTTTAGCTGTGCTCAGCTTGCGCTACCCGTTTGCGCGTTCACGCACACTATATAAAGGCGATTTCCCTAACATTGTTATTGTGTTCTTGTTCGCCTACTTCTCTCCTGTACTGTCGCGCGCGCTGCAGTTGTATTGGTACCTTACGCCAGGTTTCTACGTCGTTTCGCCAAACTTGCGCAGTTTGGACGCCCAGCTCCTCATCTCCCTCCGTTTCCTTTCTTTTTTCGTTCAAGTTACACTGCTGTGCACCTAACTTTTATGCCTTGAAACTTCACTTTTTGCCCAAGTTTCTCTGTCACTTCATCGGAATTGTTTGCTCCTGCTATGTGGAAGTTCAGCTCGAACGGGTCAATGACAGGCCACACGCTGTACATTCTGTTTAGAAGCATACCGCACCACACACACACACACATACACACACACACACACACGTGTATATATGTATATATACATATGTGTATATGCACATACATACATACATATGTATATATGTATACACCAAGAAAACTCCATGGAAAAAAAAACCGGAAAAACCCTCCTGCCTTAATCGGTCTTCGTTTTGCCGGGTTGCGCATTTGAACCGTCGGCCTTTCCATCCACCTTGAACACTGACTTTGTTTTTATACAAAACATGATTATAATCGTCCCATATTAGCTTGATGACTTTTCCTTTTTAGGCTTGGATTGTGTTGTAGGAACGAATATCATATGGAAATATGCCGTCGCCAAAAACATCTAAACGCCATGCAGCAACAACCAATGCTGCTGCTGCACACGCGAAGAGGACAAAACTTGACGGCAGTGAGCTGGAAGGTTGTAATTTTTCAATTTGTATTTTACAGCTACTCTTTTTCTCTGTCGATTTCCACTTCTACTCGCATCCGATGCTCTGTCTGCGTTTACAGCTAGGGGATGAAAAATGCAGACTGCATCATCGTAAAAATGTCTTCTTACACAA